TAAAAACTTATCAAGTTAAATTGTAAAAAAAATAAGAATATTGTACAAAGCGAGAAATGTCTTAAATAAACAAGCTTTAGTACAATTATATCACTCATTTATTCATTACCACATAAACTATGCAAACATTGCTTGGGGTAGTGCAAATAAAAACAAACTTAAATCTCTTTATTGTCAGCAGAAGCATGTAGCACGTCTTATATATTTTATAGACCGTTATACTCATGCCAAGCCTCTTTTATTTGAAATGAAAGTTTTTAATATATATGAGATTAATATTTTTAATATTCTTTGTTTATGTTTAAATGTAAATTTTATTTCTTTCCATAATTTGTACTCATCAAAAGATAAAAATAAATACATTTTACGCAATAATAATTTTATTAAGCAGCCCATTTTTCAAACAAATCTTTTTAAATTTTGTATTGATTATCGCGGACTATTCTTATGGAATAAAATAGTTTGAAAAAACTTTTACTGAGGACTTTATTAATCAAAGTAACTACTTTTCTTTTAAACAAAAGCTTAAAGAACTCATTTTTAGAATCGATGATTTAACAATATACTTCTGATATTTTTTGTGATCTTTATTTTTACCATTTATTTAAACATGAACTTATAAAAAGTATATGTGTATCATTAACAACTATAATTTACATAATAGATACAACGCATCTTTTATTTATTATGGAGTATTTTATTAACTTATTTTTATTTTTTAATCTTGTAATTATCTTTTAAATTTTAACACGAACATTTCTTAGCGGTACTCGACGACAAGACCGTATGGTCTTCTACGAGTTCCTGCGTTTTTTTATTTTGTAATAACGACCATTATATTTATATATAAATTTATTATTATATATTTGTATTTGAAATATTGTAACGAAATGCTTATTTTACATGTAATTAAAAGAACGAAAAAAAAAAAATTTAATAACTCTGTTTTATAAATGTATGAAGCAACTTATTGAGTGCAAATAAATATGTTTTTTCCTTCTTTTTAATTTGAGTTTCGAGAGACTAAATTGAAGTTACTGCTGGTTACGTTGCAGGAAATATACTTCATGAAGTTTATGAAAAAATTAATTACTAAAGAAGAACTTAAAAAGAGCAAAAAAAAATTACTTATCGTAACAATTATCTTGGAAACAACAATAATTGTGAAACAACTGCAGCTGCAATATAGATTTATTTTCCTAAAAGAAATATTGCAACACAATTTTGACATTGTTTTAGTTATTTATCATTCGTATTTCAAAGCAGAAACGATAAAGACATAACAATTGATAAAACTAAACGAATGTAATTTGGAAGAAAAAAAAAAGGTTTATCCATGTTTTACTGTTAATCTTATAAATAAATGCTACATAAAACACTACGTCATATTTATTAAAAAGATCTTTTACTAAATTGTCAAGCCAAGCTATTCATTATTTTGAAATGATGGTATTATTAAAATTTGATTTTTGTACATTGTTATCAAACTTAATTTCAATTCTTGGCTTTCCATAACGCAAACAATTCTTGGTTTTCCTCAATGCAAACAAAGTTTTTGCATGGAGCTAAGCGGAAGTTTAAAAAATGGATCACCAAGTAAAAATAAAATGTTCTTACCAATCGCAGCATTCATTTTGGGCATCAAAATGTTTTTACGTTTTCAAAGGTTTGATGAAAACTACAGAAATGTAGATGCAGTCAAAGTTTTGTTGGTATATATCGATTTAACGCACATATAAGTTTACCCAATCATTTACATCAAATAACTTTTTGCGATTGTTTGTAAGTTAAAAAAGACTGCTCAATTTATGAAAGAAGCTACTTAACAAATAAAAAAAGTTATCTAAGTATCAATCACAAAATACTTTTTAAAATGTACCTGTTTCATGTGATTTCACCTGATAAAGACGAAAATTGTTAACACTAAACGGTGCAATTAGTTCCACTTCAATGGGCATAGTGGTTTGATGGTTATTCCAATAAGTTAGTATTGTAAAAAAATACAAAAACAGACTTTTGGTATTGTTTACTTATATGTAGATATAATATAACTTTTAGGACTGTTTAAATTTGTTTAAATAACTTAAAATTGGAAAACTCTATTTCTTCCTATAGCTCTTTTTATAAATTTTTTTTTTTATATCTTACAGGTTTGATAAAATTTGAAAAATTATCAATTACTTAATTAATTAAATTGACACAGTTTTGTTCACAACGTTAAGAAGTAGTTAAAATTATTGTAAGAGAAATAAAATACAGAGAATTAGTAACTTTCTTATAATAATTTTTATATAATATTGTTTATGCACTTTAATTCATGTAGTGCAAAATTAAATGTGAAATGTGGACCTCGAGTAATTGAAAAAAAAAAGTAATTAATGCAATATTTTTAGGATTTTAATTAAGATTCTGGATCTTTTTTATTTTGATTCAATCTATATTTACATTTTTTTATTGTTTATATTTCATTTTACTTCTCTTAACTTAGGTTCGTCTTTTTTTAGAAAAGGAAGGATTTTAAAAACTAATTTACACGCACACACGCAATACTTATATATATATATATATATATATATATATATATATATATATATATATATATATATATATATATATATATATATATATATATATATATATATATATATATATATATATATATATATATATATATATATATATATATCATTTTTAAATATTTTGTTGAAGATATTTTAAGAATTGTTAAATCACCATTAGATTATTTTCAATATGCATTGTGTTGCATATTGGAAAGAAAACTTATTTATAAAGCAATTGGCGATTATTTGTAGAATGAAAGAGTTCGATACTTTGTTTTAAGTTAAGGTATTCAATTCATAAAGAACAATTATTTACGACTATTTCAAATTACTAAAATCAGACCACATATTTGTCTTACTATTTTTTTGTTTTTTAAAATATCCTGTTGAGTTTAACTGAGTTATTATGTAGGCATTTATGTTGATAATATTATTATAAAATGGGTTCTAGAAACAGATGTATAAAGGTAAGAGCAAAAAAAACAAAAAAAAAAACACTAATAGTTGCATTAAAAAAAGAAACTGTAAGTTGTGTTATTGAAAGTTAACATGCATCAGCTTCTTTAAACAAAATTGATTTATCTTTTTTGAAAGTAACAAATAATATTCAAAAGGTAGCTAATCAAAACAACAGAAAGTTATCCATCAAACAATTAGAAATCGTTTTGAGACAAATTAAAGTTAATAATTGCATATTCAAAATGTCACTCTAATATAGTTTTTAATATGCTTTTTTCTATTTCCCGAGTAGCAAACAATATTGGCGCAATATTGGTCCGATATTGCCTGCAATATCGGATCAATATTGGCAACAATAATGGACCAATATTAAATGCAAACTTTTGGCAATATTGGCCCAATATCGATTTATATATATATTGGACAAATAATGTTGGCAATATTTGTGTATTATTTAACTGCAATATTGATCCCATATTGTTTACAACGTTGGACCTATATTCAAAACAAGATTGGCCCATTATTGCTAAATGTTTACTTTTTATATTAGGACAATATTTCTTCCAATAATGCGCCAATATTGTATTACAATATTGAACCAATATAGCCAAAAAGAATCGATTTTTTTAATATTTTTACTATTTCAATCAACAACTTAGTTAAGTAGTTGATTGATAAAAATAGTTATTTGATTGATAAAAATAGTAATTCATTCATTTAATTTTACTGTTATACATCGGGAAACCGTTGGGTGGATTGGAGTAAGCAATGATAGGGTTTTCCTTTTTTTGAAAAAATGAAAAATATAATAACAAACATTCTTTTTAGACAATTTGTAATTAAAAAAGAAATTGTTCAAGATATTTATACAAAATTATTTCATCGTTATATTTACAATCAATAAATTTTCAATTATTAATATGAGCTTTATGAATCAAAAATAAAATTGCTGTAATAGTTTTTTAAAAGATTTGATACCGTTCAATAAATAAAGTAAACTAAAAAACTTAAAAAAAATTCTCATTTTCAAACAAAAACTCAAAAAGTTTTAAAAAGATTAAAGCTTTAAAAATAAAATTGCTAAGAACTTCTGTATTTCTGAAAAGCAATACAAAAAAGAAAAAAACCAAAAAAAAAACTAAAAAAAAATTTGAAAAATAAAAATAATAAAATTTTTAGTTTTAAAAATAAAGCATGGGCATATTAAACTATAAAGCATACCCAGCCGGCAAATAACGTTGAAATAACGTTGAAATATCGTTGAAACCTAACATTGAATTAACGTTCGTTTAACGTTTCGAATGAAAGTTTTTTTCAACGTTGATTTATCAACGTTAAATCAACGTTAGGTTCAAACGTTATATCAACGTTGATTCGACGCGAAAAAACGTTACAATAACGTTGAATTAACGTTGGTTTAACGTTTAGAATGAAAGTTTTTTTCAACGTTGATTTATCAACGTTAGATTCAAACGTTATATCAACGTTAATTCGACGCGAAAAAACGTTACAGCAACGTTGAATTTACGTTGACCAACGTTAAAAAAACTATCATTTTTAACGTTGTTTAAAATGATAATTTTTTTAACGTTGATTTATCAACGCTAAACGACTGTAAAACACTTTTTCATCATCAAAACGTGCTATGTATGTCAAAATGTATATATGTATGTAAACGTGCTATGTGCGTCAAAATATGATCACCATCAAAACGTACTATGCATGTACATTAGTGTTGCTGTACATTATCAAGGTATATTATGGATAATAAATCTATTCATAGTCTATACTTGGACTATTTAGAACTTTTTCAGTTTAGTTTAGTTAAAATAGCTAGGTATGATTAAAGAAAGAGATAAAACTTGTTTTATTCAAAAATACATATTCAAATATTACATATATTTACATGTAATTGAATAAAATCTACACAAATTTCTTCTCTTTTCCACCACCTTTTTGAAATAAAGCGTAATTTAGAAAGTCAAACAATGTTCCATTAACCGAGGGTTTTTTTGGTCCATTGAGTACAATATGAGAAGCTGTAAATAAAAAAAAAATATTAAAAAAAAAAAAAAAAAGAGAAGATTTAAAAAATAAATAATGAATGGAAAAGTGTTACAACTTATGAAGGTATATCTTTTTCAACGCCATATAGATTAGTGTTCTTAAAACATATTTTTCCACCTTTGCTCTTCATATCCATGGAGGCCATATAAATTTTCGGAAATACTCTGAATTTTTAAAAAATAATATAACTGTTAGTTGGTTATTAATAACTTTTTCAAATATTTAATTTAAATAAAACAACCTTTTTAATATATTAAAAATAAATTAATAATCAAAATATAAAACATTTCTAGCATTGAAAAATAATTTTCGAGGTAGCCACATAAAATTTTTATAAGAAATTTTATGTGGCCATTTATTAATGGTTTAACGTCCATGTTTATACACTTATGGGGCATGGACAGGGATCAAATAATGTCATTTGTTATGTTAAATAGCATGCATTTTCTACAGCAATTTTTTACAATTCCATGCACTTTAAGGCGTTAACCAGTTTTGCAGACCGAAAATGGGTATTTTGAACATTATACATCCATCAAAAATTAAAAAAGGAAGAATTAATGAGGAGCTTTGATCAAATTTTTACCTCTTTAGAGGATAATAGAGGATTTTAGAAGTGGTTTTAAAAAAAGAGGACTTTAGAGGATTTTAGAGGAGCTGCAGACACCCTGATTACAAATGAGGTAACTCCACCAATTAACTGTAATTAATTTATCTTTAAAAAAACATGAAGTAAATCTAATATTATGCTTGTGGAGATATATTATATTGTGAAGAACCATCCAAACCACACAAGTGGAAAATTTGCATCCAAGTTTCCGCTTGTGTGCAAATCTTGCATCCATTTGTCAACATTCTCATTATCACATTTTTCTTTTGTAGTTGTGAATTTAAAATTTTCACAATGCTATTTGCTTTCTTTTAGAGTTGAAATAGTTATACAAATAGTTATATATTTTGTATCAACAAAATAACTCTTCCTACCACATTGTTTAAAAAATAATAATTGTAATATATAGATGTAATACCTGAAGAGAATTTAGTTTTTATTTGTATAAACTTAAGCCAATTCTTCTCTGCATTTTAGTTCAGTCAATGCTTTGGTATCTGGAAGCCGACAAACAGTTTTATCACTAATCCAATCAGATGGAATTACTTCTTCTTGTAAATCTTCATTCCAAACAGCTCCTTTCCGCATATTCGATTTTGAAAAAATTACATGAACTAATATAAAATGAAGAAACCATAATACAAGTGTACTAACAGGCCTAATTAAACTAGCTAAATTTGAACATTTTATAACCATGATACTTGCTAAACAATGACATTAGTAGACATTATGAGCAAAGATAAGATTTTCTTTATTTTATAAATTTATTATATTTTAAACTGATTTTTATTGATTTATTTATTACTCTATTATTCAGCAGAGTTCTGAATATATTATGTTCAAATAACTTAAGGCTCAATAACAAAGACAAATAATAAAAGAATACTAGGTTGCTAAAATATAAACATCTACATAAGATAATTATGGAATATTGAAAAAAAATAGAAATACAAAAAAACAAAAATACTCATTATTAATATATAATATAATAGTATAATATAAGGTATACTATAATATATGACTCAATAATATCTACTTTCAATTAAAATATAAAAACAACAAAAATTAAAAAAAAAATATTTTGATAAATAATAAATTATCATTCAAACAATTTTCAAGACCAAAAAATAGCTTGTAACTTATTTTTTTACTTATCTTCATCTAATAAACATTACTTATTTTTCACTCATCTTCATCTAATAAACATTAATATTAATACCAATTTTAAACATTATTAGAACTTTTTTTTATCAAAAATTAAAAATATTACATCAGTTACTTTTTGGGCTTTTCTTATTTTACTTAAAACATCAACTCAATTCTAGGCTTTTTTCATAGTTGAGTTTTAGTTTGTAATGTTGAATTAACACTGAAAAAAAAAATATAAGCAGACAAAAAGAAAATATTTCTTTATTGAAATATATGTAAATATTTCAATAAAGAAATTTTAGATCGATTTTTATAAATATAAATTTATATCAATCAATCTAAATTTTTTTCTTTTCCGCCACCTTTTCGAAATGAAGCGCATTTTTAGAAGTTAGACAAAATGCCATCAGTTAAAGTTTCAGTCGCTCCATCGTATTTAATAGAAGAAGCTGTTAATAAAAAAGAATTAGAAAAAACAAAACAAAACAAAAAAACACAAGGAGAAATTTTTGAATATATAAAAAATGAGAATAAAAAATTTTTACATATCTTATAAAGGTATACCTTTCACTACACCATATAAATTAGTGCTCTTAAAGCATATTTCCACCTTTCCCCTTCATATTCATGGAGGTCACAAAGTTGTTGGAAAATATTCTAAATTTTAATAGATAAGAGAACTGATACTAATTATGCGAGAACTAATATTAATTTTTTTTTTAATTTAAATTGAACTCATTATCAAACAATTTTTTTGCTAAATAATTTAATTCTTAAAATTCCTGAATAATTAAAAATTATTTTGATTACATCAGCATTTTAAAGATATTCCATCAATTGCAATTGTTTCACCTAAAAAAAAACAACAAGTAAAGCTATTATTATTGTTGAAATTCTAATTATCTTTATACAAATACTCATCATATTTTTAAAGTGACTGATAAAAATGGATTTAATTAAAATCACTTCATTTGTTTAAAAAAGTAATATTAAAGCCTTAATCATACATTATACAAGAGTATTTTGTAATACAATCTAAATAGTTGTTGCGATATGTAATTTTTTATCCAAAATTTAGCTTCTGTAAGCTTTAGAAATTTTTTAAAGAAATTATTGATGATTTTGGAGCTACGGGTACTAATGTTTTTATATTGTTGTAATGTTTGTATTCATTCCCTGTTAGTTTCTGTAAGTCAAAGTTTTAAGGTATTTCCATAATAAATTATGTTATATCTGAAATTTAGTGTAAGTCTGAATAATTTAATTTCTAAAATCTGTTTTGCATTGCCTGTCTTATAACATCTTTACGTGGAACAAAAACCATGTGGTTTAAAAGTGAGCTAGAAGCTTTCAACAATAAAGAAAATATTGCATTCGCTAATCCTAAAAATATATTAAACCTGTCAGCAAAATCAGCTGTCAATAATCCATGTATTAGCATCATTAAAAATTCATCTTTGCTGCATTACATTTATTTTGGTCCAAGTAGTTAAGGATTTTTTTAAATTTCCAAAAAACAGAAGTAAATGTTTTTTTAATATCACTTTATGTTCTTTTGATTAACGGTGATTCTTTGATTAATGCACTAAATGATGAAATACATTTACAGATGTAAGGCCAGTATAAAAGTCGCAAGATCTATCATTTTTAAAGTAAATGTTTGTATACAAATAAATTGCAATAACATGATTTGTTTGGATTATGTTTATATACAAGTTTGTCTGTTTTCATAGTAATAACTGATGTGGTTGAAGTTAATTTTTCAAATAGATCTTTATTTTTTTATTTCGTGCTGAAGTTCTTTTTTAAAGTTATCAATTTCATTTTTTAATTCTTGATGCTCTTTTAAAAAATAACGCTTGGCATTAAATTCAACATAATTTAATGGATCATTTTTTGAAAAAGTTGTATTATATTTACATTTAATAATATCAGTCTTTGAGCATTGTAGCCCAAGTTAAACGAAAAATATCGATTTTTAAACGATAATGTTCTTTCAGGAAAATCATCTGAACATGTTTTCGATCTCTTGAAAATTCTATATGATATAAGTTCAGTATTTACATTTTTTTCCATTATAAATCTCTATAACTTTAACCGTTGAAATAATGTTTACAATTTTACTTCCATTTCTGCGCGCGCATAAATTTTATATCGTATTTTTTGTCAACAATGATTGAAATAATGACGTTGAAATAACGTTAAACAATCAACGTTTAAACTGTAACGTTGATTTAACGTTGAAATAACGTTAAATAATCAACGTTTAAACGGTAACGTTGATTTAACGTTGTGTCATAGTTGAACAACGTTGAAACAACCCTTCAACCAAATTTCAACTTTGAAACAACATAATAATACCGGCTGGGTAAGTATGAAAACTAATTTTTGTATATTTATTTGTAGAATATAATAAATTCAAGTGAAATTTATTATAATTCCATTTATAACAAACAACTTCACAAATTATGTTTTTATTAGAAACAATGTGAGTTATTAAATAATATAAAAATAAAATGTCATTCATTTTTAAATATTATATTCGATGTTTTACGGTTACTAACTGATATATATTTAGAAAATGTTGATAATACATAAGATCTTACATAAAGTCTTACATAAAATTTTGACAATGAAGAAAAGGAAAAGCAATAAAACATTTTTTTCTCTGGAGCAATAAACTCTTTTTATAGATTGATGACAATGGAAAGTATGAATATTGCTCAGACAATGGATCAACTTTGAAGACATTAAGGTTAGATGAATCGCATGGATAGCTGTAAAAAATTTTAATTACTTTAAAAACACGACAAATAATAATTTTTTCATCATGCTCTGAATCATTAATGTCGCAAACTATAAAAAATTTCTCATCATTTAATAAAGCACATTTGCTTTTTCTGAGGAAAAAAGAAAACCAGCATAACTAACTTGTTTATACTGTATACCTGTAAATGCAAGAGTTGGACCATTGTTGTGAGTTTCTAATGATTGTAGCTTATAAAAAATAAAAAAATTTTGCTCAGATGAACGATAACACAATTGGCTGAGTGGAAATCGACCAGTTCTTACCACTTTTTTCATTTTGCCAAGCATATGCTATAATGGAACAGCGCCATAACTATCAAGCGCACCAAAACGCCTGATGTCGTCATATATATGAATAAGACTGTGCATAGTGTAACTTAGTGAACTATTGTCATACAGACTAGAGAGCTCCGTAACAAACATAATAAGTAATTTTTCAGCATAATGACAGTAAACTTCAGAAGCATCAGGATTAGCTAGTATTGAAATAGCAACACTCAAAAGCATAAAATGATGGTAAAATTTAGATGGTAATTGTTTTCTTAAAACAACTGGCCCAACATAACATAAGAAAAATCTAAACTCAGTGGCTTTCCAACGACTTCTTTAAGAGCACGTGGTTTTCTGGAAAACTCACAAGGAATACAATTGACCAAGCTTATTGGATATAGTATCAGTGTTAAAAATGCTTTTCTTAACATTTCGAGAGCCATGAAGTTAATACAATAACAATTTTAGAGTCGCACCAAGGCATACAAGATGCATATATTCCAAAGAAAATTGTGAAATATGACCAACATTAAGCTCTAGAAGTGGTGGTACAACATTTTTTTTATGATGCTGCTTTTGTTTACGATTAAAAAATGAGCTATCTGTTCGCCTCTCTGCATACAATTCCGGAAATGTGATTCTTCCTTCTACATATTTTCTAACCTGAACGCATCTTTCACATCCATAATACCCATTGTGGCTTGTTATACCTTTAACAAATGCACGAGCAGGTGCATCAGATATAAAAGCATTGATAGCTATAGTAAAAAAGGTACCTGCCACAGCAAATCCACACTCTTTAAGTTTTATAATCTCCTCAACAAATCCAGATAAAAATACTTTAGCTGATACTGGTTTACTATTTCCACAAAACAAGCCAACTACAAATGGTTTAAAAGTAGTTCCACCATAACTTACTGAATATAGTATTGGCCAAAACTGCTTTGCAGAACTTTTATACAGTGGCAATCCATCAGTATTAAGTTGAAGGTTCAAGCAAAAGTCTCGACATAAAATAACTTTATACGTATTTTCCATTATTTGTATTAACTGATTTTCAAGACCTAAATATACATATTCACCATCATTGTTATAGATATCATGCATTGGTACTATATTAGCAAATTTCTCGGTTTTTAAAACGGTTCTTGCATCTTTCGGTAAGGAATGATATTGACCTAAAAGTGGCTAATAAATCTGTTAGAGCAGTATGTGTAATATTATGCTTTACAGAGCAAGTGGCAAGCAAGTCTTTTAAATTGTTAGTCGTGTAATGGAGAGAATCGCATTCACTTGAGCAAATCGGGAAACAGCCATTAACATAATTCTCATCAGATGTATTCAACTTAATTGAAAGAAAGAATCATCAGTAAATTCTGTTTTTGCTTGCTGGTTAGGATCAATAGATTTTTTGATTTTGATCTTCAGTAATTTCAAAATCAATACTTTTACTGTCTTCGTTAAATAAATTACTACTTCCACTGCTGGTGCAAAATAAACTTTCATTTGGTTGCAGGTCTTGTGTTTTAAAGGTTCTAGTAGAAGTTTCATGTTTTTCCAAATGTCTAATAACATTTCTTTTAACAAAGCTTGTTTGAGCTGTATATGAATTCTTTTTTTTTTTTTTTTGTTTAAACATAACCTAAACATGCAAAAACACTAAATTTATTTGATTACCATATTTTTAATGTAGAAAATAAAACAAAGTATTAATACATACTAATATAATATTATTACATAAAATTTTATATTTGTAATACCAATAAAGATTTCTTTACAATAATGATATTAGTTAAATTGCTATCTAAAGGTCAGTTTCCACATACTTAAAATACCTATACAACCCTAAATTATGAATGGCTAATTCTATTTTTATGCACTGTATTTTATTTGTTTTGTTTGATACTGAACAAAGCAAATAAATTTTTCAAAAACAAAACGTAAACAAAAATAAGTTTGCAATTTAAAATATTAGCTTGCAGAACAGTGTTGTTGCACAACTGTTGTGACTGTATCACTGACCGTGTCGATAGAAACCAACATTAACGGTTAACTAATGTCATAAAGAGGTGTGAATAATAAATCAGATTAAATTAATTTCGAACCAAATAATAAAAAGGCAGTCATTAACAATCACATTTAGGCAGTCATTAACAATCACTTTTTGAAGTTGAATTTTGATATTTAAAATATAAAAATTGTATATAAAAGTTTTTAGTAAACAAGATCAAAAATAGTTTTTATTAACACTAAAAATTTTTGTCAATTCAAAATAAATAATAATAATAATAACAATAATAATAATAACAATAATAATAATAATAATAATAGTAACAATAATAATAATAATAATAATAATAATAATAATAATAATAATAATAATAATAACAAAAAAATCAAATAATCAAACAATAAGAATAACATTTAAAAACTAATTAATATAATTTACTAATTATTAGAATACATAAAAATTTATTCTCATATGTAAATTTAAATTTCAAAATAAAATAATTTTAAAGAGATAAAAATCAAAGTCATATATCATAAAAATGAAATAAATAATTCAGTTGTATTTCTTAAATTTCATCAGGCTGTTGAGTATCTTAAACATTTGCCTAGAGTTGAACTTCATCTTTGCTGATTTTGCCAACACTACAATTTTTTCTACCTCCATCTCGATCTGCAGCTTGAGCTCAAAAACTGCTGACTTTGGCTTTGATATTGGCTTCAGCCGAATCTGGAAACTGTTTCATAACAGCAACTACAAGCAAGTAAAAAAAGTTTTTTTAACCACATTATTAGAGCAAAAAATATGATTATAAAATTAGTAATTAAATTTTGGTATAAATATAAATAAAAAATAACGATCAATGGACAATAAAGATTCAAGAAGTCTCAAACACCTCACAAACACAAAATATTAAGGTTTCAAAACAAAAACACAAGATTTCATAAAAACATACAGTAAAATAAGATTTTATGAAAAATTTAAAAAGTTTATTTTAACAAAACAATATTTACTTACAACAGCTCCATAACATTTCAGTTTTTGCAAAAGATTTCTTTCCTTTTTTGCCTTGTCCTGAGTATTGTAAACTCAGAGATTTTAAGAATAAACAATTAATAACAACTCTTGTCATTTGATTGCAACTAATCCCACCAACAGAAGCCAAACGATTTGTCTGTTACATTAATAAAAATAATAAGCATTATTGTATTTAAATCTTTGAAATCAGTACTGTTTACAAAAACAAAATAGCATTTCACACTTAGCAGTTTTGCAGTATGACATCATACTGTTAAAGCCCGCTGCATGTACATACATACAGATATATATATATTATATATATCTGTATGTATGTGCTATATGTATGTATGTATGTACTGCATATATATATATATATATATATAAATATATATATATATATATATGCAGTAGTGTGCAAAAAATTATATATATATATATATATATATATATATATATATATATATATACATATATATACATATACATATATATATAAATATATATATATATATATTTATACATATATATACATATATATATATATATATATATATATATATATATATATATATATATATATATATATATATATATATATATATATATATATATATATATATATATATATATATATATATATATATATATATATATATATATATATATATATATATATATATATATATATATATATATATATATATATATATATATATATATATATATATATATATAATGAAGACTCCACGGGAAAACACGGCAGAGTCACATTTTGAAAACTTTGACATTTTACACTTTTTAACTTTATAAACAATTATACATTTTATCTAAATTCAAATTAAAAAAAAAATCGGATGTATATTTATAGTTTAATGGAACTTAATCACTTTTTTAATTATATAATACATACCTTCCGAAAAGACAAGTGTTAATGACTTAAAATAATATTAGAAACTTACTAATAGACACAAACCAAGTTTACAATTTTTATTTTTTGAATTATCAAGACTCATACTTACGGCTATAAATCTTTATTTTTCAAAATAATTACAGGTGATTTGGTTAACGTAAATTAAATAATAAAACTGGCAACACTTGAAATACCAATTAAAATGCTAAAAAAAATCCAAGAAAAGAAAGAGTAAGTAAAGATTGCATGAAAGTATAAAGAAACAAAGATTAGCATCGCATAAAACAGGACTTGAATGTAACTGTATAAGGCTGAAATGCTTCGATAATGTTAAAGAAGCAGGTAGAAAAGTGTTAAGATATTTTAACTCTCTATCCTGCAAGGATACTCAAGATTCTTATCTTGCAAGTTTAATTACTTTAAATAACGTTTGAAGAAGAAGACCGCAAAACATTAATTCAAAAGGTTATAATAGCAGTTAAAAATATAAACTTTTTATTACAAATCACGAGATACTTACGAGCTCGTATAATTATGTTTGCTTCAATTTATTTTATTTTCAATTTATTTTATTTTGCTTCAATTTATTTATTATCGTTTATTTCAATCTTTGACATAAAGAATGGAAGATTATAGACCATTTGAAGAAGCCTTCTAACTAAAGGTAATTTATATATTTTTATTGATTATAGAATGCTTATTTTTAATAGAAATTTTCTTAAATATAAAAACTACTTTTTCTTATTATATGTCACTCTTCCCATGATAGAAGAGGTAAACACAAGAATCAGTATAACAAATTTACTCATCAACTAAAAAATAAAAAATGTGATCACATTTTTTCTTTCAGAGTTAGATAACAAGATCTATTAAATATAACCAAGATGTATGACTTGTTTAAAATCAATATGGAAATGATAAATTGTCATATGAATCATATCGCAACATACTTAACAAAAGTTTTAACTTTTTTTTTTTTGGGTACCCTAGGACTGACACATTCTTAATGCGATGAGTTTAAAATAAAAATTGATGCAATAAAAATTGAACTATCTTTTAATTCAGAATGTACAATGCATGAACAACAATTGCATGAGCTTGAGTTACAGAAAGAACAGCACCACAAAGATGCAGAAATATTTTATGTTAGGAAAAGAAATGCTTGGTTTAAAGCACAAAGGGAGTACAAACTTGAGGCAATTGCTTTTGATTTCCAAAAAAATCTTAACTTACTAAATCAATCAATCAACGACTTTTACTACAAGGAAAAATTAGCATTTTATTTATTTAATATTCAAGTGCTTTCAAGCAATGAAGTTTATTTGTATTGTTATGATGAAACTATAGCTAAAAAAGGGGCTGATCAGTAACTACGATGGTTTTTAGTTTAGGTAACTACGTTTTTTAGTTTAGGTAACTATGATGATATTTTTATAAAACATTTAGACAAAGAAATTCGATCTGTAGAGCTATTTTGTGATTCATTTGCTGGCTAAAACAAAAACTATACATTATTTCGTTTTATGGACTTTTTTTTCATGAAAAAAAATGTTTGACTTTATTAAAGTTACATTTCCAGAACGTGGTCATTATGGAATGTGATAAAGATATGGGATTAATTATTTGCAAAACACCCACTAGTGATCCATCAGATTGGATTAAAACATTCAAAAATGCTCGTCAAAAACCCACTCTGTTTCATATTATAGAATTAACGCAAGGTATGGTTAAAAGTTTAACTGATTTTATGAGACCATTTTATAAGAATAAATGTCTAATTCCAACTTGTCCTCTTTGTGAAATTTGTTTCAGATGAGACTCAAGTGGCATTATATTTCATTGTGATTCGCGAAATGAATTATTGTTGAAAACTAATTTTAAAAATAATAGGAAGAAAACTATAAATAGTGAAATCCTTATTCTGTATAATGCAAAACTTTGCATCTCAATGGCAAAGTACAGAGATTTACAAGTAACAAAAAGGTTTACAACTAATGCTCAAGTTTACGATTCTTTTCCATACAAACAGGAGGTTATCGAGAGATTTCATGAAAATATTGATTCTGAAGATGAAGAGTAAATAGACTTCTTTTTTTATTTAAATTTTGTTTTTAATTGTTTTTTTATTAGTGTTTCTTGACAAATTAATAATCTTTAATATGTTTCTTC